ATATCTGTCTGTCTGTCTATCTGTCTACCTGTCTATTTGTGGTGCAGTGTCATTCAGTGTATTGTAATGTAGTGTAATGTAGTATAGTGTCGTGTAGTAGAGTGTAGTGTAGTGTAATGTAGTATATTGTAGTGTAATTTAGTGTAGTGGAGTGTAGTGGAGTGTAGTTGTGCAGTTGTAATTGAAGTGTTGTGGAGTGTAATATAATATAATGTAGTATAATGGAATATACGGTAATGTAATGTAGTGTATTGTTCTTTAGTGTAGTGGAGTGTAGTGGAGTATTGTGGAGTGTAATTGTGTAGTTGTAGTTGTAGTGTTGTAGTTGTAGTGTAGTAAAGTGTAGTATAGTGTAATATTTTATAATATAATATGGGGAAATATAGTGTAATATACTAAAATATAATGAAGTGATATTTGAACCTCTAAAATTGGTCCGAACACTTAGTTTTGAAGATTTAAATTATTTGGTGCTATACCATCCTCCCAGGTGCGTACCTGGCGCGCACCTTCGCCTGCGCAGCCCAGGTTCAAACGGAGAAGATGCCACAAGGTTTCCTGGCAAGAATTCCTCCCAACAATTGGATGCTTAATGTTTAATATGATTTTATATGGTTTAATATGGATTGTATAATATAATTTAATATGGATTATATAATATGGTTTAATATGGATTATATAATATGGTTTAATATGGATTATATAATATGGTTTAATATGGATTATATAATATGGTTTAATATAAATTAATATGGTTATATTTAATATTAATTAAAATGATTTAATATGGATTAATATTTTTATATATATCTTCAATAATAATTCAATATGGTTCATATGGTAATTTTCCTGGCCAGAGATTTAATAAAAAAAAATAGTGAAGATTTAATTATTGAAATTTCATTGGATTTCATACCGATTCAACAGGATTTAAGCAATAAATAAGGACCTTTTCACACATCTATATCTTTTTTCTTTTTACTCTTTCTCTTCTACTCTTCTTTCTTCTAATCTTTTTCTTCTTTCTACCTCTTCCCTACTCTGCTTTCTATTTCTACATATGGTCGGAAATTTAACTTCTAAATTTCCTTTGATAATTTATAATCAGAGATTTCAAAATATCTATAATTACATATAGACAAATATTTCCAAAGCAGCTTGAAGCCGCCATTACAATGCCCCCCCCCAAAAAAGACAAACCGACCGCAACCGGACCCGTCACGCGTACGAGGTACCTTTCATCGCCGGCCGCAGTCACTTTATATGGAAAAACAAACACACGGTTTCGTGCTCCAGCTTCCTCCCCAACACAAGCTCCATATAGCCATCGCAATACATTTTACAGCGTGACGTAATTAGCCCGCATATATCTGCGTATATGGCAACAAAATATAATATTAATTATATAATCATTCCAATATGATTTATACCCAAATTTAAAAAATATGTAGAATTACACATACAGGAACAACCGCTCGTTACAGAATACAATGGATGAACCAATTCGAACATGAAACGACCCCAGCTGCACCCGCCGCGCATAGGAGATACCATTCATCGCTGGCTGCAGCCACTTTATACGGAAAAACGGCACGGTTTCGTTTCGTGCTCCGATTTCCTCCGCAATATAAATTCCATATAATATTTAGATATAATTATTACAATAAATTTTATAATATAACATAATTCATAGTTATTCCAACACGATTTACAATAATAAATTCAAGATATACAAAAATTACACACACAAGAATAGCCATTAATATGAGATATCATATTTCATATCACCCTTCATTAAATAAATCATTATATAATAGAAAATCTCCCTCCGCCCTTCATTAAATATATTATTAAATAATAAAAAATCTAATCCCATCCTTTATTAAATATATTAATGTATAATATAATATTTCATATTACCTTTCATTAAATATATTAATATATAATATAAAATTTCATATCAATTTTTATTAAATATATTATTATATTAAATAAATTTTCATATTATTTTTCATTGAAAATATTATTATGTTATATAAATTATCCCTCCGTTTTTCATTAAATATATTAT